TGACCGCTGTCTTCCCGTCGGTGTGATTGCCCTCGTGTTTCTGCGTAATCATATTCATGTAAGTTAGATTTGCTTTATTCTAACATTTCATAGAACCTGTTCTCATGTAATAAAATTCTCCATTATATAAAACAAAGCAGATGCTATAAGCAAGGCGAGGACCATGAATATAATTTTTAAAGAAACAACCTTATTCATACAGTACGCTACGCTAATTCTTAAATACTTACTGTCTCTGTGTTTTTCCATAGTTTTATTCTTTTCCTGTTTTTTCTTATAATGAACAGTACGTTTGTATCAAATTATATACATATTTTAACCCATTTTATATGTTCGGTCATTATCAACTTCTTAGAGAAATCGCTTATTTGTATATTGAACATTGCATTTCTAGTCATTTGCGTAATAGGTAATAAATAATCTTCATCTGTATCTCAATTTTTGATAAATTTGCTGAGCGTCATAACCACCTGCTTCGGTAAATTAGACTGGGGGCTCTGAGCAGTCAATATCCTAAATCTAGTTCCCATTCCAGTGCACCTGCTCGCTTTGGAAATTGCTTTACTTTCCTTCTGTGTAGGGTTGCAAGTTTTGTATCCGAAGTCAGTTGTGTCCTTAGCTTTTAAAATTTAGTTCTGTTTATTTATTTATTTATTTTTTTAATTTGTGTTTTTTTATTTGTATATCTTATTTTTTAAATTACTGATCGGGCTGATTATGTTGTTCTTAATATGGAAGAATGTATAAACTTTGCATATTTTAAGCGTTCCTAATAAATTAGTCCATTGTGTACAGCAAAAGGATTGATAAGAAATTTTCCTTTCATTCAGTTCCATAAATAATGAAGAAAATAATCAAATCTGTAAGTCTCTTTTCAATAAATCCCTAACCTTTTAAGAAATTCTTTTCTCGTATAGTTTACAAGACATGCCATTTTGTATTGTGTGAAAAATGAATTATATTTGTTATTTAACTGCTGTTCCCTAATAACTGTTTCATCAAGTGACAGAGAAGTAAAATCTGGCGAAGCAAAATTTATGATCTTCTTGGTAAAATATATGAGATTGAATAAAGGACCAGTTATTGACTTTCTTTTTTATGCTGTTGAAGTACTTCAGTTCTGTTAGAGACCTGAGCTCGAAAAATTGCTGTCTTTTAATTCTGTAGATGTTGAATATAAAAATGAGGTTTTGGTTGAGTTTTTCAAGCAAGTTGAATACAAAACATATCATTGTTATCATGAATTTCATGGAAGAATGGTTGCCAGAGCCTCTGGACTTCTACACTTCCACCCCAATTTTGAGAGTGTCTCCCACCTCTGTCCCCTTTCCATTGAACCACACGAGAGGACTTTCGGCTCGCCATATGTTTAGAGTGCCCCCATGCCGCAAAGACACTCTAAGATTTACAACATCCATGCCTTCTCCGGGATTCAAACCTGGGCCCTTCGGTACCGCAGTAGGAAACATATTCTAAGTGTTTATTAGTTACTGATAGGTTCTATCATAAAATTTCATCATTCGTCTCTATTTTGTTAACATTTGCCCGTTTTGTGATAATCTTGTAATATTTAAAAATTATATAATGTTTTGGAACGTTTCCTACAGAAATGGATATAACATTTTCAGTGATTTTGCTGCAGTTTAATTCAGAATGGGAATCATATTTTATGAGCAATAAAAAGTTCTTTCTTAGACTAAAAATATCCACAGTGTTGCTCAATTCAAATCAATATTTCTTATCTGATTCCCACATCTCTATCTTTTTTTAGATTGTTAGAAGGATGAGTTTTTCATGTGACTTCGACACCTCGATCAACGTGTGCCAAAAGTATAAATGCGAGATAAGATTGGTATTCGCCTTCGGATAATCCAACGAGAAGTAGACCGCTTAAAAGGTTAAACTGGTGTTATTTTATAAAAGGACAATTAGCTAATATAAGTGTCTTTTGGACATTTGAATCTTAATTTATTTTAAATGCCTTCCGAAAAATTTAACTTATTTGTTCTCTCAAGCAAAGTTTAAAGATAAATATGGCTGTTGCAAAGGATTACTTACTCAAACACTTAGTAGTGTGATTAAAATTCAATACCCACACAATCAAGATAAGTAGTACTGAGTATCTGCTTCTTCATGGTTTAAAAAAAATCTAGTTTTAAATATAACGTTAATAAATTTAAATCAGACCCTATTGACTAAAATTCATAGGTGCTGATTAATCGTTAGAATTTTAATATGTGACGCATACGTAAAATAGATTTTTTTTTTTTTTTTAACCTTGCGAATGCGATATTCAGGTTCTTAATTTAATCTTGATGTGTGTGTGTGTGTATTTGAATTTTAATCACACACTAAGGTGTTTGAGTAAGTAATCCTCTTGCAACAGCCATGAATTCTTATCTTAAACTCTGCTTGAGGAGAACAAAATAAGTTAAATTTTTCGGAAGCATTTAAAATAAATTAATGATTCAAATGTCCAAGACATTATATCGCTATTGGCCTTTTATAAAATAACACCAGTTTTACCTTTTAAGCGGTCTACTTCTCGTAGGGATTATTCCCGAAGGGCAGAATACCTCACAATCTTATCTCGCCAATTTTATACCTTTGGCCACGGCGATCGAGGTTCCGGTCCACATGTAAAAAAACTCAGTCCTTCTAACAAATCTAATAAATAAAAGGCGAGAGATGTGGGAATCAGATAAGAAATATTGATTTGAATTGAGCAACACTGTGGATATTTTTAGTCTAAGTAAGAACTTTTTATTGCTCATAAAATATGATTTCCCCATTCTGAATTAAACTGCAGCAAAATCACTGATAATTCATGTTTAGCATTATTATTTTATAATTAGCAATGTACGTTTTACGTTCGTCACATCGCCACGAATATCTAAAAAAAGTTTTCAAGTATTTTAAACTGAAAAGTTTTCATTTTGAAAACTATGAAATTTTTTTTGCAAGACTATGAAATAATGCCAAAAAAAAAAAAAAAAATGTATTTTCATCTCTGTGGATTTGTATTTCCTCTCTTGCATATGTTTGTTCCCTTAAACTTTTATGCTGATTCCATTTTATTCCTCATTATAGACTGCCATATATTCTGTAATAAAAACTTTTTCCCAGGCTGTCAAATGCTACATTGATGTGATTGTTACGTGCTGCAACATCAGTGTAGAAAATGTGGATCGACGAATTTCTGCTTTTTTGTATCCTTCCATTATCAAAAGAAGATACCATCCATTTGCCCGCATGCGTGGGAGATGGGACCAGAACCAGAAAAATGGAAGCGCGCGTTCGTTTTATCTTCTTTGGAATCTTATTTTCGTCTGCCGGTGGAGGGTGAAGATGCTCACACACACTGAAGGGGCAAAGTAGGGAGCCCCAATTGGAAACCTGAATCCGGCACGCGACTCTGTGGGACACCTCCTGCTGTGCATAGCTTGTAGACTAGTGGCAGGTGGTCACTGTATGTTCCGCCCTCTCCCATAGCGCAGCTTTAACTTAGACGGGGGATCGGAATCTCTTTTCTTTTGCCCTTTGGGTCAGCCTACCGGCGCCCGCAGTTTTTTCTCTCCAGAGGCGAAGGGTCAGTTGTGGTACAGCAACGGCTGCTAGTTGCGAAGACAGAAGGCGAAACAGCTGCTCCTCGCCTTCCCGCCGCGTTGGAATGTCGATAATAGTCTGTTACCGAGTGTGTTGTGTGCAGTGTCGGATGCAGCGTATTGTCGGTGGATCACCTGCTTCGGCGATTCTCTAACGTTATCTTTCAATAAAGTTGTAGTCTCTCGTAGCGGATTTTCAAAAGGAATTCAGAATGATTAAAATTGTGCCATCACGTATCTCATTGGAATCATCGTTATATTATATAATATTTAAGCATTGCCGGCGCTAGGCACATTGCTGACCGGTGCTGTCTCTGCGGGTCCTAAATTCTGCTGCCCAGTGTTTCCTTAAATTTAAAAAAAAAAAAAATTACCGCCCCTAAATTCTGCCGCCTGGTGTGGCCTCATTGGTTGCACCTATTCTGGCACCGGCCGTGTATCTAAAGTACGTTTAGAAGGTAGATATTCATTGAGATTTCAGGTTAAAAAATAATTAAGAAATTTTAATCAAAAAATTATTTAAGCAACATGTAGCATTAAGAAACATCATATTTCTGTTCGTTATTTTAATTGTGTAATTATAGTATTCCCTACTTTTAACGCTGCAGGAAGATTATTCTGAATCCTTCTTCTGGGAGGGGAGGGAGCGAAAGTTAAGCGTGTTTTGTCAAAACACATCTTATATTCCAACATAATCTGGAAGTGGTTGCTGGTAGTGGCCCTCTGAATACTGGTAGTTTGACTTGGTTTGGATTCGATCCCAGGCGAACGAGCTGGCTGCATGTTTGGTTTTTCCTGTGAGTTGTATCGTGAATTACCTCGGAAGGTCTTTGATGAAGGCATGCCTCTTTTCAGGCAGATAGTCTTTATGCTTTTGTCTTATTCAGATAACCTAACTTAAGCAGTAAAATGTGGTATAAGGGTAAAGAGGAAGAACAAGATGGCATCAGATTATTAGGGGTACTAAGTTAACAAATATCAGCTTAATTTTCATTTACTCAGATAAAATGGCATCAACATTACTTATGGGTAATATCAGCTCTCTGGTTCTGGTCCCATCAGGTTGATTGGTTGGTCTGCCACTGGAAGAGGTGACATTCATTTCTAAGGTATACGGATTCGTAGTTAACATTACTTATGGGTGGAAACCAGGAAAACGCCATGTAACCCTTCTCTGGAATTCACGAACCTGGGTCAAGCTACTTGTGTTGCCCCAACTACTTTGCCACCAATACAATGTATAGTTATTCCTATGTAGTCTGTGCTGCTAAAGAGCCACGCGCTGGGATAGGTATGCGATTTTATGCGAGAGATTTGTCACGGGCGAGTTTTATTTCGTAAACAGGCTTCACAAACTAAAAAAACATTGAGGCCGTGGGTTGAAAATACGGGTTTCCGAAATATTCCGAATCATGGAGCTATCCCCTCCCCCTTCTTGAAAAAGATGTCTTTC